ACGACACTGGTCACTCATTTCCACTCAAAATACCTACATAATCGGATTAAAAGTTTTATAGCTGTATTGTATTTCTTCAGATACAAGGTGGGTTAGTCGAAAACATCTTAAACTGCCAGTTTTAGTTTGGTTTTTGTTATTATATCATATTAGCTGTCCTCTCTGTATTTCAGTTCTCTAATGAGGGTCAAACTTGCAGTGAGCTATCAACAAATTATGAACGGACTATAGATGTTTAACCTATTTAGATGAACCTGTTGTCGATATCAATATTTTTGACAGAATTCTCGGATATTTCACATAAATTCTGAAACTTTGATTTCAATAAACACTTTTTCGAGTCTACCGTTGCCTTTCTCTGAAATTCTTTTTGTTTTATGTTATTAGAAAAGTATAGTTTTCAGAACAAAGTCCAATCTATCGCCACGTCAGTGGGTGAATAAAGAAATGAATAATTTATTCAGGTGTGGATGGGGAATGTCCAAAGAAATAGTGTTTTTCAAAAATTACGTAAATTACTATTTTTCATCCACCTACCTTGGTTGTCTCACCATATGCATAACGAAAAAACCAAAAATGTGATCAAATCGATTCAAGTATTCCAATGGAACTTGCTCTGCAGCTATGTCCAGTTGTCCAAATTCCATCCAAGGAAGTACTGAGTTTTTCCTAGCGTAGTTTATCATACTTTCTGAAATGTCGGTAGCTACATACTCTTTCACATCTGATGGTAAGTAAGGATAGAATGATTTCAGAAAATTTCCACCCTCTCCATGACCAATTTCCAAAACGGAAGCGTTCTTTTTCCATTTCATCAAATGATTATACGTTTTCAGTTGCTTTTGGATGATGACTGTAGTAATACGATTTGATTTTGCAAACAGCTCCGGTAAAACCATTGCCATTTTAGGTGATGCAACAGTGTTCACTTGCACATTGAAGAGGACTGATGCGTTTTCAGCAATGACTTGAAGTCAATAGCAGAAACTTTTCAATGTGTGTGATTGGTAATTATGTTGAATGAATGTCCCAGATCATTTGACATTTGACGTTAAGTTATCGAAGTATTTGATAATTTATAGTTTTATTTTATAAGGTGTTGTAATTGAATAATTGAATAGAATGTATCGGGGCTTCGGGGGATAGGGCCTGACCAGCGAACACTACGGTGGAAAAAAATAATAATAATACATTTATTACCCATCAAAGAGAAAAATAGAAGAATATACAGTAGTGGTGGTGCTATTAAATGATATTCTGATGAATAAATGGCTGGACTCACTGGTTCAGATAACAGTTGAAAACCGTTTCTGTTCTTCCACCAATGCCAAAGAGATATTCACAGTTTCAACAGATAGCAATACATTAACGAAACTAAATGAGTAAAGATAAGTAAATAAAGAGAAGAAGGGGAAAGGAAAGCATAAGAAGGTAAGGGTTAGAGAGAGAGAGCAGAGCAGAGCATATAGTAAGAGTCCGGCTCTGCCAAACTCTAAAAACCTGATTTGGTCCCCAGCGGGGCAGGCACAAAGTATGTGCTCTGCTGTTTCATCATTTTCCATACAGAGGCGACACACACTGTCTTCCGACAGTCCGAGTATCTGCATATGATGATTCAAATGACAGTGACCCGTAAGAAGGCCTGACGTCGTACTTCATCCCCACTGTAGTCCAACAACTGTTTGGTATCAAGCTTCGAAGGGTAAATAAACGCCTTGGAGTGAGCCAATCCTGGAAGATTCTGCCAGAAGTCCATACATCTTCTTGCCATTCAGGTGTTCAATCTTTGTTTGGCAGAGCTTAAAGCGTTGTGGTAACTAACGTTACTTGTTCTTGTAGGACGCAACTGCAGTAACGTTAGTTACAAATACAAGTGGTATAAAAATAAAGGAAGTTCTAATTCTCATTGTACATGCTTATCTTCTTTATCTTATGAGACATATAATGATGAATAAGACGAAACCGAACTGCACTATCTGCAGAACGAATTTCGACAAAACTTTGTATCAGAATTATCAGAAAACAACAAAGTTGCTGATACAAATGAGGTTGCCGTGGTTACTCAACTCCTTAACCGTTCCACAGTTCAGTGGTAGGCAACTGCCTACTGCCTACTGCCTAAAAATGTCCTCATAGGACGAAACTGCAGTAACGTTAGTTACAAATAAAAGTGGTAAAAACATAGAAAGTTCCATTTCTCTTTTCTTCATTATGATTTCCTACCACATACATCTGCTGCTACATCCATCAATTAATTGATTAATTGATCATCATCTTCATCTTCATCACGAATGAGTGGGGACGGAGTGAGAGAGTAATAGATAGAGAAAAATTTAATAGAGAATAGAGGAATAGAAACTCGGAGAGGAAAATATAGGTATCACACAGCTGCACGCATTAAACTTTATAGACGAATTTTTGTTATTTCGGCTTGCGGAAATCGTCAGATTATATATTTTTCGTTACCCTTGAACGCTCGAAAATGTCGAGATGACGTTTTTTACAACTTTGCTGCCCTCCCCTTTCTTTACGTCACTCTCAAATTGTCAGATTACTGGAATATACACTTTTGAGCAGGTAATTAACTCACCCTACCTTAATCAGACGCGATCGAGAATTTCTGATGATCAATTTTTTTTTACTAATCTGATCCTTTATCCCTCACAGGCGGCCTTATATATGAGGCTCATATTTCGTGGAGGTACTTAACAGGGTACAAGGTATCCCCCTGTATATTGATCTGTCGCGCTTTAGTAAATCCCAAAATCCCCGCTTGGGCTCCCCTATTATGGGGTTTTTTCAACAACATGGAATACTTTGGCTCATCAAAGAAACTGACCCTCTGCTGCTCTTTCTTGCAGGTCTACTGAGCTAAAGTCGGAAAATGAGGAGTCATTTGTCTTGATTATTTTATTTTTCACTTTCTATCAACTACCTATACATATTTCATTAGATTCTGTACTCTTGTAGGACAATTCTTTTCATGCAATTCGTACAATGGGGATCCAAACAGAAGATTTCTGCTTGTGATCACATTTATTATACAAAGGAATGGTTATTATCGAAACTAAGATTATTGAAATCGGCGTATGAAAACAAGTATATTGTACTGATATTAGAATTGATTCAATTTTCTATCGAATATTTTTCACTTTTTACTATAAATGTTCAGCTGGAAGGTTCAAGCCATGCCTGTTAAAATCAGTTCGACATCAAGTATTCATCTGTAATTCATATTTGTCACTATATTGTTTTCAACAGAATTCAATGAGGTGCTTTTTTACAATTCGGTCTCGTTCTATTTTCGAACAATAGCAAATATTTGAATACCTAGTTTATTTTCTCCAAATACACTTCTGATGTGAAACATGTTCATTATTAAAAATATTCATTCCCAAATAATTTTGAATAATTATGGATGGAAAGTCAAATGAGACCACTGAATTACCAGGAAAAACTTACCATGCATATTTCACTATCTTCTCAGTTAGAATTGGAAGTTGGCGTAAAATGAATTTATTGAAAACACATTTTCTACTACGGAACGAAAACATTGTTTCTCAACTAGTGCTTCGAAAACCAAGTTAGCATTTATCAAGAGATCATGGCATGAAATTTTGTGAAATTATGAATGAACGAGCAATGGGAAATGGTGATTTCCAGATTAATGGGTGTTATCAGAACGTCTATAAGTACTTCATTTGTGAACCGGGTCGATAGCAATCCTAAAGTTAAAAACAAATATTTCGAAATTAAATTTCGAAACATTCATCTCTACACCAATGGTTCTGGTAAACGCCTGCCTGAAAACAACTCCTTCTCCAGCTAATACCACTGAGGATATTGAATTATATCTGTCTCTACTTACGTCTCTGTAGATGGGCCCCTTGATGAAGCATAGTACTGATTTATTCACTGGAGGTGACGTTACTTACTATGGTCATTGATTTCCGTCTGTTCAGCAGTCTTTCTTTGGCGTTCAAAATCTGCGCTTGAGCAGATGCTTGAGCACGTGCTTCTTCTCTCCTTCCAATGGTTTCCGCTTGTTCTTTCTCTTGCCTGGATTTCATGTCCTCAAGAAGTTGACTCAGTGACTGTACGTCC